TGGACTCGACTAAAATCATAGGGTTGATTCTGGAACCCAATATCTTGAGAAGGGTTGGACTTTCTTCAACATTCGAGTTGCTCTAGACCAGGGAGTCGGCAATGTGCATCCATCTGATGCGGCTCTGTGTGCTTGTAAAATAAAGAATGAATATTTAATTAAAATGTATTTTATTTATAAAATAGGTAGGGCATAGTTAGGAGGAACTGCCGCCTGATCAGAACCCAAGTGCAGTTTAGTTTTTAGACTGGTGGGGAAGTCAGATGTTGGCCATGAGGCACAGATGCCAATGAAATCAGGATGCCAATGAGTAAACTTGGTACTGGGGTATCCTAAATTGCAAGGTGATGATTGATTTTGTACAGGCATCATCCAACCTGTGGCAATATGCTTTGAACACTCAGGTTAATAGAGGAGCTGAGCTGTCAACTAATGTTGGGTTGGACCAGATACCAGGAGAAGATGCCACATAAGAGGACACTTAATAGTATTATGAGGATTTGCTGGAACGGCTGATCAGTCATCTGTCCTGGGCTGCAGAAGGCCCTCTGGTCAGTTAGGACACTCTTGTTTGGGTTCAAGTTGAATCTGTCTTTATCCTCTTGTTTAACTGGTTTCCCACAACTGACTGTTTCAACCTGAAAATGTACTTGGGTCAAAATTTAACAAATTAATTCAACTAAACAACGAAATGCAGTTTAATGTAAATAATGTTTAATTCAAATGAAAATTAAATGAACTGCTTCAGCACGTTACAGCCACAACGTTTTCTATATGCTTGAGTTCTAAGCAGAAATTCATTAAATATTTTTCCACATTTTAGAAAACATAACTAAAGTATTTCGTTGCTCTGTGAGGAATGATGCAGCAGCAAGATATTCCATTTGTGTAGCAACATTTCAGGGGTTGGCCATTTAAGCAAAATAGATCCTCTTGACATGAACATGGCGGATAAAAGACTGAACTGAGCGTGTCTATGAGAGCGATCGTCCAACCACGGAGTGATAAAGCAGAGAATCGATCATACAGTACTAATGGATTAGGAAGGTCTAGCTAGATGCTCTGATATCTGTTAGCTGCTTCCATGTGTCTCTTTAAATAAGTAACATACCACGAATCAATATGTGGCAATCTGACTCACTAAACATTCAACCAGCCAGAGATCAATAACACTTTGCATACCCTCCCCCACCCCCTTACGGGCTTAATATGACAGAAGAAGAGTGATGGAGGAAGCACACACACACACACACACACACACACACACACACACACACGTGCACTCACACACACACACACACACACACACGTGCACGCACACGCACAAGCCTCTAAAAGAAAATGAGGAAGTGCCTCACAAAAAGGCAGCATCTGCCTCTGTGCTCAAAGAGCAAGCAGCAAGGAGAATAAAGACCCTCACATTGATGTTGCCCATCAATACACAGGAGTGCAAAAGGAGAGCAGCGAACATCTCCTCCACTTGACAAACTGACATGCTCTGCAGGAAAATACTTCAGTCTGCCTCGGCTGCCAAGACTAACCTCCAGGCCAAATTCATCTGATGCCAAAAGTCACTCAAGCATTTTTTTGTGCTTGCTTCATTCACCAAGGAGAGAACCTAGCTGAGAAATATCACCCCTCTTGACCAAAGAGCCATTCACTGATTCACCGGGTGGTGATGGGATCAACAGGAGCTCAATAACAGTTTTTTTTAACTGTCTATAGTAGTAAAACAACACACTTTCATATTTATAACAGATTTCACGAGTCATGCAGGCAAAATTGTTCTAATGAGAACAACAAACAGTCTTGGCTTTGTGGTGACAGGTTTGATGCCTTGCTCAAGAGGCTGGTGCAAAACAAAACATGTATTTCAGATTATAAATCTTTAAATAGAATGCCATTGGTGTTGAAATCTGAGAAAATATTTGTTTGCATTGCTGCTTTACGGTTAAGATTACAGGTCAGTTTTATTACGTGACCCTTTTTAGGTGTGCTAAAGAGTTACAAAGATGATCATCACAATGTTTTCATCACAAAATCCCACAATACCTCAAGTTATTATGTTATTTCATGTTACTCAAGGCAGCAATTTTTTGTACGGCTGAAACGAATCAATGAATGGTTTCAATTAGGCCTGCACGATATTAGGAAAACCTGCGATATTCGATAACAGTGCTTAACCCTCTGATGCATGAATTATGAGATCTTCAACCATGATTTTTAAAAAAAAATTTCATTCATCTTTAGGTGTGAATGAAACACATTTCAACAAATATTTTTTGTGACATTTTGTTAATTTACAAATAATTTATTAAATGTCCATCTCAGTGGACAGCGTGCATTCTGAACATGAAATATGGAGGCTTGACTTACTGAAGTCCAAATGGAGGGGCTCAAATGCAATAAAGTCTTCAACAGCTGTGCTTAATAGCAAAAATAAATAAATAACAATTTTGAATACCTGTCCACTGTAGTGACCATCATGCATCAAAGGGTTAATATTGCGATATCGATATTACTCACGATAAATGAACAAATACTAAAGTATGCAGTGTTGATGTCATCTGGCATGTGATGTCTGCTCGGGGTTCAAAGCAAACAAAAACTAATGCATGAATTCCATTACAACATAACATTTTTATTGAAAAAATATGCAGCTGCACCTGCTACTGTATTAGCAGCAAAACAACAAACTGCATGCATGCAGTTTCTCAGTGACTTTAAAACATCACCTCCACCATAAATCTTTTTCTGAAGCTCCAAATACAGAAAAACATCCCTTACCAGGGTTTTTGAATAAATAAATAAAAATCAGAAAATAAGTTTAAATGTTAAATAATAGTTAACATCACTTAAATGCAACAGCAAATTCTCTCATTGCTACTGAGCATTTTCTCCACTTATGTGGTTATGATATAAGGCTGTTGCTGTAATTGGGAAGTGAACTGTGCTGGGCCAAACTAGGAGAATATTAAGATTTTCTGAGGGAAAGAGAAAATTAATTGTCTACCTTTCAGAAGAGGAACTGGGAAAAAAAACTACATGGAAAATATGTGAAAACATTTGGTTTTAACCCCAAATTGAACAAGTTTACCTAGATCTTAAAAAGCAGCTCAGATGATGAAACTGCAACTATGATTCTGATAACAAGCTAACAAATTGAACCAGCTCCTCTAAGATAACCGGCTAGCAGAGCTTCTGACTGACAGTTTATGTGCAGCAGCAAATCAACTATCCTGACTAACAAGGTTATAAAAGCTCATAAATGAAAAATCACTTTGATGTGTGGGGGAACTTTTCCAGGCCCTCTTTAGCAGGGTGGGACTGGGAGGAGAGTGCTGTAGCCTTTTTGTTAGAAGCTAACCGGAGCCTGGGGCTAACATCACCACCCGGTGGAACACTAGCTACATGAAGGTGGGTTGGTTCACCGGCACGTGTCGGAGTCAGCCCGGTAAAATGATTAACGGCACCGAGCGGACTCGCGTTCACGTTTGAAAGCAGCGCTGATTCCAAAAACCTCAGCACAAAGTGCGTTCGTTGCTCTGAGCCAGCATGACGAACAAGGGAACGGTGCAGCTAACTTTCCATCCTAAGGGTCTACGTAGGGGGCGGGCGTATTACGTGAACGGACCCATCTGATTGGCCGCATATCAGAAGGGCGACATTTGATTGGTCAAATAATACTTCCGCGTAAAAAACAGAGCTGGTTTACAAAAAGTTGATGTATGACACGGATGGAAATGTTGAACCAAACATTTATCGCCGTTTTTGACGTGCTTTGCGATGGGCCTATCGCACGTCCTGTTATCGCGATGACGATAATTTTTCTATATATTGTGCAGCCCTAGTTTCAATTGTTCAATTCCAGCCCTAGTTTCAATTGTTCAATTCATTAAATCCCTCGACTAATTTTTTACTGATTTGAAGTGTCATTAAATGTGCGCACCACAGCCTGAACACATTTTACTGGTGCTCAACGCGGAAATCTACTGTAGGAGCTGTGGAGGAATGTAGAGAAACTAGCAAAGACACAACCCATTTTAAAGGCAGAAACAATCCAAAGTTTGGAAACAAAAGTGAAATTACAGGTAGATTGGCTAATGCTAATGCTAGAGGGTAGCACGCTAACGATGGCTGTGAAGGACTAAACTCTACAAGCAGAAGAAAAATTCCCACCAGCCCGCAGCGATATGAAGCAGAACCGCAGCTACGAGTCTGCTCCACACACCATTGCAGGCTTATGGCAAGCCCTTGTAGCATGTAATTCACAAAAGTTTCTATCTCTGAATACAATTTAGATGGGATTATGGTGCCAACCCATACATAATAAAACAGGTATGGCATACTGGCTAGTACTGTGTGAGGTTAGGGAACAATGGGACATTTTTTGCAACAATGCCTCATGCCCAAATTCTGGTATAACAATGTGCATTTGTAATTTCTGTTTCTTTGGGCTCAAAACCACCACTTCACCTAGAAAAACAGGTTAATGTGTCCATAAATTGACATTTACAAATGACATTTTTTAATGTAGAATGTGAAAGGTCTTTAGGTAAAAACAGCATCCATGTTTTTAAGTTTGAGTAGCTTAAAGGTGCATTATGTAGAAATGAAGTAAAAATGACATCCTGTGGTAAGATTTGGTCACTGCAACCACTTTAAACAACTCTGGAACTTTTTGCCGGCCATCGTCAAATTAGAAATTGTCGGCGCTGCGGTATTAGCTCGCAGGACCCACTCACTAATGGTAAACAGTAGTTACGTTTACGTTCCTTTGTTTTCAAAGGAGAAAAACTGAAAATCCCCGTGAAGAGCAGAAATATGTTTCAGTATAATCGTCCTTCCAAAATGACTGAAATATTAGACTCTTTTGGGATTTTCTCACTCTAAATTTATGTGTTATATTCTTACATACTGCACCTTTAAAAAAGAATTATAGCAAATTTCTCAGTTTTTAAGGGGAGAGACAGACATTTACGGCACAAACAGAGACTTACTGCATCCATCCTCATCGCTGTGGTCTCCACAGTCGTTGTCTCCATCACATTGCCACTGGGCAGGAATGCAGGTACACTCCCCAAACGCACTGACCGCACAAGTAAAGTGGTTCTTCCCACATGAACAGTCAGCGCTGCCATGAGCACCTGAAACACACAGAGAACGAGAAGATTAGAGCTGATCAAGTTCAGTTTAACAGAAAAAGATGGAGATTGCATAATTTATCGTGTTTTGTATTTAAAGTCTTTGTATAATAATAATACATCAAACTTGTATAGCGCTTTTTAGGTCACTCAAAGACGCTTCACAGAACTGCAATAAACACATAATAAAACAAAATTGCATAGATGATGTGTCCAAAGCTTGAAAGATGTGGTTTCCTAATTTATTCAATACATTTGCAGTTCTTGTGTGTAAATCAATGCCTTGAGTCATTAAAAAAAAAGCTATGATGCTCCTGCTCTGAGAAGCAGAGATTTGCTGGTGCAGAGGTGGGCAGAGGATAGCAGAATTGCTCATTATTTTTTCATGACACCTTGCTTCGATTGGCTAACAGAACACATGTTGCAAAGTCACTACCATCAATGCACTCTTCGCTCTTTCGCTCCTCACAGCAAAAAGTTTTTTAAAAAGCCTTCCCGTGGGCAGACATGAGCCAAGATGAGTGAGGTCATGAATGCAAATTCACAGTGTGACATCACAGTGTGAGGTTTTTCAAATCCTAGCATTTCACCATCTACTTTCTATCAGAAGCTAAAACAGGAGATTAGTAGGAGATTATTTTCATGCTCAGCCTGCATGAAAAACAGGTAGATTGGCTAATGCTAATGCTAGAGGGTAGCACGCTAACGATGGCTGTGAAGGACTAAACTCTACAAGCAGAAGAAAAATTCCCACCAGCCCGCAGCGATATGAAGCAGAACCGCAGCTACGAGTCTGCTCCACACACCATTGCAGTCAGTCACTCTGACTGATTATATTCAGAAATAATCATTAAATAAAATAAAATAAATTCAGTTAAACACACCTTTAAGAGACCACTGCCAGATGTTGAAATTTTACTTTGTTGTGACTATTAATGTTATGATTTAAGGCTAATAAAAACACACCTTTCACTAAAAGTAGGAATTTTAATAGGGGTTATGTAAACAGCTTCCTTAAGTATGTGGTTCAACTAATTCCCCTAAAATGGTTTACTGTTGAAATAATTAAAATAAAGATGAATAACTTGTTTTTCTGTAGACTTTTAAATAAGATAATTCAGAGCTAGACACATTTTATAAATTAATTCAAAGATTTATCATAGACAATGTCACACTTAAACAAAGCTGCCTTATCAGAAGTCGGGTTGTTTGTTGATGTTGAGGACCTACTCTCATTTACGCCGACTTAGAATAAGTAACTTTAGCAAATAGGAGGGGGTTATAATTTATGGGGAACAATTTTATTATGAAAACAAATAAAAACAATTTTCTGCATCAATTACCTTATTTTAGATTTATATTTTAGCCAAGAATTTTTACTTGACAAAAGTCTACAGAAACCATGTTTAAATATTCAAAGCACAAATGTAAAAGTGTGATCAAATATGAAGCTACAATTTATTAATGACATGTTTTCTTTGCTAAGCTTAATTCTCATGAATAGCAGACACTTTATAGACTTCTTTTAAACACCATGCATCCACGTGTACCAAAACAATAGATATCCTCTAAAACACAAAGAAAAGCTGAGTATAAATCTAATCCCCCGATGTGTAACCACAGCTTCATAAAAACACATTTTATTTTGATTCTCAGCAACACAAAACCAGAAGGAGTAAATAAAGATTTACCATCTGTATGTTGGTGTGTCAGCTTTACTAAAACTGGCCTGCCACAACCCAACGTTTCTTGGAGTGTGTGTGTGCGCGCGCATGTGTGTGTGTGTGTGTGTGTAAATATATATGTGTGCATGTGTGCGTGGTTCCTGGCCTCCTCACAAAGGCATCAGTCAACCCAGGAGGGCCTGGCAGGGAGAGCTCAGTAACCTTCAGATCCCTCCCACAGCACTAAATTAATGGCCTCTTTCTTTTCATTTCCCTCTTTCTTGTCTTTCCACAATCCTCTCTTCACATTTCCCCCTAAGCTGCCTCCCTTCCTTTCTCCTTTTCCCCACTTTCCCCCATTCCTTGTTTCCAGAACTCCCCACTAATGGGAAAAGACGGATGACGTAATCCAAGTCTTCCTGTCTTTAAACTTGTCTTTCTAATTTTCTTACGCAGTCTCTAATTCCTCCAGTCCTCGCAGCCCGGAGGTAGAGACGAACCCCGAGAGACAAAAGCCATTCACTGACACACCACTGACATACTCATCAGTCTAGCATGTGTAACTCATGCTGCAGAGTTGTAAGAGCTGTTCGATTGTAAGAGTGAGTATGCGTGTTTGTGTGTGTGTGTGTGTGGGGGGGGGGGGGGGGGGGGGGGATTAAAAGCCTGTGAGCTGCAGCAGAAGTCTTGTCAATGTGAAGCCACATCACAGATCCTGCATTTGTCAAACATGCTTTAAAAAGCAGAGGTCACTCGCTCTGACCGGAGCCAAGGAAACTACCAGGGTTTTGCTGCAAGCCGCCAACCACACCAGACTGCAGTCCTCCATGAGTGAATCTAAAACTGTTTAGCTCAAACTGTCTAGAGCAATCAAAGACCTATCCCATCTGAGAAAAACCTGCCAGAAAACAGAAGCACTTCAAAGTAGAGAAGTGCCGATTCATCATATAACTGATGCATCGCTATAGGGAGCCTAAGTCACGCTCATCTACTTCCGGACCATGGGTCCCCGGAAGAACAGAAAAAGTGAATGCAAGTCATTGGGGCTAAAAACAATATTTTCTAATTCTGCTTGTTATGTACCATGGATTTTACATATGATGTCCATGAATTTTAAAGACGTATTTTGATGCCAAGAACGCGTTTATTTTTGAGCAGTGAGAAAAGTTATTTTAGGTTTTGTGTGAAAATATGTCAGGGACTGCAAAATCCCCATCACCAAAGTGATGTCATAGAACCAAACACGGAGAAAAACAGAGGGAAAATGGCTGTAGGTTCAGCAAACTTCAAATCCTTCCTTCAGGAGGAAAAAACAGCATAAATCTGGCCGTGTGGCAAGTAGCAGCTATGCTAGACAGGAGATTATGGAGGGACGTCACATATGCGACGTGCCAATGTCTGATTTGTAGTCATTGTAACGTCTTGGTAACCACAAAAGCTTACAAGCTGATACAGGGTATATACAGCAATCCTTAAGTAAAATTTACTACTTTTTAATACTTTTTTTTACTACCTTCAGAATTTTTTTAAAACCATCACAACACTAAATTGCAAGTGTTAATCAGCGACCTATTTACACATATTTTAACATATATAACATACAAAAAGAATAGACTTAGAGACTCACTGATGTTGACAACGTATTGCGCATATTTATTTTACTTAGAAAATATGCCAGGCACTTCTTTTCAGCGGTTCAGACAGTTGACCACGGGGCCTGAAATGATGCAGAACGACCACTGAATATGACGTCATCATAATGTGACCGGATATGCTAAAGTAGGGCTGCTCAATTATGGCAAAAACAATAATCACGATTATTGTGACTGAAATTGAGATCTCGATTATTTAAGACGATTTTTCAATTTATGTAGATTTTTTTAATTTATTTTTATTCAGTCATAAAACTGCTCAGGGCACAATCAGGGCAAAAATAAACAAGAAACAAGATGATCACTAAAATAACTCCTGATTCCCAGTATAAAAAGACCAATATACTTATAGCTCATAGTTTATGACCCAAGGGCTGTAGACCTTGGTTTAACTCATTTAAGTCTAACCCGTACAGACCCAAATACCAATATCTTGCAAATACTGACAGCAAGAATTATACAGTGGCATTTATAACAAATAAATGCAAATAAATTAATGTTCACAAAATGTTGCATAACATTTATTGAGTCATGTCAAGGTGCTGTAGGAGAGTGCACTAGCACCGTGTCCTCAGAGAGATTAGTTATTAGTTATCAGCGTGAGGAACTTATTTCTACCTTATTTATAAACTATGTATTTACAAGTCCATCAGTTAATGTAATAATTGTCCCAACCACAGCTGCACCCCCCACCCCCCAACCCGGTCTCACAGCAATCGGGGCAAGCTGCATGTGTGTTTAGCGCGCCGCACGCACACATTTAGCCGTTTTTAGCGGCTCAGGAGCCCGCAGGTACGGTGTGTGTCACTCACTCTGGTTACTCCAACAGGGAGCCGGCTCCGAGAGCCGTTTCTTTAGCGACTGACACATCACTACATCATTCCCTTTCCTAATGTCCTGAAGAACGGTCCGGAGCGCAGGCGGAGTGTTTAGCTAACCTGCAGCAGGAAATGTCGACGATAGTTATCCAGAAAGTAGCTAAGGGTTACCAGAGATGTTTCTGAGGTGTTCGCTAGGTACTTTTAAGATTTAAAAAGTCAAGAAGGGGGTCTGAAAAGCTGTTGGAAATAGCATCAAAGTCGCTAAGTTGGCAACGGAGCGCTTCATTTGTAACTCAGGGCAGCTCAAGTGGGAGGAGCAAATAATCGGCTTGTTTTATTTTTATAATGTTCAAAACATTTCATTCGGAATATATTTCTATGTCGATGTTCAGAATACGACACCTGATAGTCTGAAAAAAATAATACCTAACTTGGAAAAAATAATACCTCTGAGACCAAATTTAACACTTTTAATGGCCTTAAATTTGACTATTTTTATTTATCACTTTTTAATACTTTTTAAAACCCCGCGGACACCCTGTGATAAATCTCAAAGTACGTGACTGGCGTGGTCGAAACACGCAGTCGGTCACCCTTAGTAAAGCGGCTCGTTAGTTCGGCTCCTGACAAAACACGGTTTTTATCTGATTTTAATGATTTTTTTACTTTTTCGCTTGGACATTGGGCGCAATAATTGCATACCGCTTTTTTAAAACGCCGCTCGGTGTGCAGTTTTAATTAGTTATCAATTGTTTTAATTGCATGGTTTTACTTAAGCGGTAGTGTGTGGGACGTACCTGACAACTCTTCCCCCCTCACCATGCCTCCCCTCACCTGTAGCCCTGGCTGTGACAGCTGTCTCAACC